CCCCCCCTTTCCCCCCCCCCCCCCTCCCCCAAAATTCATCAGGTCGACCGGTTTCACTTGCCTCCAGGACGAAGAGACGCCGCGACGCCTCCCGTCCCGCGATCGACGACCGACGGGACGTCCACTTGCGGTGTCTCTCTGTTCCTCAGTCGCTCGTCGGACACGACGCGGGCTTCATCTACTTTCGTTCTGCTCGTCCGCGCAGTTGCCGCACCTGTGTGCTGATACGAAAAATCGACAGTACGTGCTCGCCTGACTGTTATCAATTGGTGAAAGCTCGTTTATTGGATACTGCGAACATGCACTTTAGGAATTTCATTATCGGATCGAGAAACGTTAGTGAAAATTATCGCATTATTATATTTACACAGTGATTGGCTGACGGGCAGAGAGATTAATTGGAGGACAAATTTATTTACGAATTATTATTATTAACGATATATACCACAGTGGGTAATAAGGGATATCAAATTTTTGTTGAAATCGTTGAAAAAAATTTTTTCGAAAAAATTTTCCTTTTCACGTTAAAAAAAGTTCCTTGCTCTCGGCTGTCTCTAGCTGCTGCGAAAGCTCATGGGCGACGTCGCCGTCGTGCTCGATCGTTCCTTGTATCTCATGTGTGTAGTCTCGTTTGTATGGCAAATATTAACTTGCACCCTTCACTTTCTGTTGCAAAAAATTTTTTCGAAAAAATTTTTGTTTTCACGTTAAAAAAGTTTCCTTGCTCTCAGCTGTCTCTAGCTGCTGCGAAAGCTCATGGGCGACGTCGACGTCGTGCTCGATCATTCCTTGTATCTCATGTGTGTAGTCTCGTCTGTATGGCAAATATTAACTTGCACCCTTAACTTTCTGTTGCAGAGTTCATGGCTGCGTCGTGTCACGAGTGTCTAACCTCTGCGTATACGGAAGATGAGAATTGGCGAGTGCGAAAAGTGAGAGGCGAAATTTTTATTTGGCACGAGCGAGAGGGAGGAGGCGTAGTGGGTGAAAGTGTGAAATAAAAAGAGAGAGTACAAAAATTTTACGCGGAAGCTTACGAGAAATTGGTTGTAACGGGGAGGGGGTCGAGGGTCGAGTGTAATTCGGAAACGAAAATCGAATTAAGATCCGGGAACGTGTTCGACGATGAAATTTCCGGGAAGCGAGGGATGAGTTTTTTTTTTCTTTTTTATTTTTATGAAAAATGAAGAGTGATGAGCCGCGAAGGAGGGGGGAGGGGGGAGGGGGGAACAAATGGTCCGCAGACGCTGCAACCGACTGGGACTACTGAAAATTTATGGGAATCGTGGAATTGGCATATGACAGTGAAATCAGCTGGATTTTTGTGAGACGCGGGGGAAGTGTCCAATCGTCCAGCTGTTGAAGTTCAAAAAGTTCGAGGTGTCACGTTGAAAATTTTTCGACTTGCGACGGTTCAGGAACAATCCGGTTCGTGGAAGTGTGAGCTGTGCTGGACTTTAGAGGGAAATTGGAGGGGGAATGCAAATTTTTTGTCAAAATTCAAAAAATTGTCTGGACTGTTTTTTCCTGTAATTTGGCCAATGTTAAGAAGCGCCAATAATCGTATTCGTTGCTGACGATTTTGTGAGTCCAAATTTTAACATAAGATCTTCATAAATATTAACATTTTTTAAATGTCGTTTAAAGTCGCGTCGAATCGAAATTTTCCTTAGCACGCTTCCTTTACTCTGTCTTGTTTAAGCGTTTTTTAAAAATATATACATAGGTTAGGACAGGAAGTGGTATTTTTGCCTTTTGCATTCTCATAGTCTCTTTCCAGGATTCACGAAGGTGAATCGCTCTGTATGGCAAATATTAACTTGCACCCTTAACTTTCTGTTGCAGAGTTCATGGCTGCGTCGTGTCACGAGTGTCTAACCTCTGCGTATACGGAAGATGAGAATTGGCGAGTGCGAAAAGTGAGAGGCGAAATTTTTATTTGGCACGAGCGAGAGGGAGGAGGCGTAGTGGGTGAAAGTGTGAAATAAAAAGAGAGAGTACAAAAATTTTACGCGGAAGCTTACGAGAAATTGGTTGTAACGGGGAGGGGGTCGAGGGTCGAGTGTAATTCGGAAACGAAAATCGAATTAAGATCCGGGAACGTGTTCGACGATGAAATTTCCGGGAAGCGAGGGATGAGTTTTTTTTTTCTTTTTTATTTTTATGAAAAATGAAGAGTGATGAGCCGCGAAGGAGGGGGGAGGGGGGAGGGGGGAACAAATGGTCCGCAGACGCTGCAACCGACTGGGACTACTGAAAATTTATGGGAATCGTGGAATTGGCATATGACAGTGAAATCAGCTGGATTTTTGTGAGACGCGGGGGAAGTGTCCAATCGTCCAGCTGTTGAAGTTCAAAAAGTTCGAGGTGTCACGTTGAAAATTTTTCGACTTGCGACGGTTCAGGAACAATCCGGTTCGTGGAAGTGTGAGCTGTGCTGGACTTTAGAGGGAAATTGGAGGGGGAATGCAAATTTTTTGTCAAAATTCAAAAAATTGTCTGGACTGTTTTTTCCTGTAATTTGGCCAATGTTAAGAAGCGCCAATAATCGTATTCGTTGCTGACGATTTTGTGAGTCCAAATTTTAACATAAGATCTTCATAAATATTAACATTTTTTAAATGTCGTTTAAAGTCGCGTCGAATCGAAATTTTCCTTAGCACGCTTCCTTTACTCTGTCTTGTTTAAGCGTTTTTTAAAAATATATACATAGGTTAGGACAGGAAGTGGTATTTTTGCCTTTTGCATTCTCATAGTCTCTTTCCAGGATTCACGAAGGTGAATCGCTCGTTATCGTAGGCAATTTAAAGTTTTCCCCAGGCCTGAGAATCGATCCAGTCCACCTGAAACGGCCTGTAGCTTCGTCGCCTCGGGCGTCGATCCTTCGGCTTCCTTCGGCGGGCGACGATTAAGCACGGCAAGGGGGTGCGATCTTTCAATTAATAAGACTAGCTCGTCTCCCGCGCGTCAGTTTAATTTCACGAATTAAAATCTAATCTCCGCGGAGCGCAATTCCGAGTCCCAAGTCCAGAATCATTGTAAACGGCAGGGAGGAGGCTCGATAAATTATCATCAGCCGGAAGCGGGAATGAATTTCGGATATAAGATAAAACGTGGAAATTTTTATTTTCAAATTTTTCCCGCCACCCACTCCGGATCTGTCAACGTGACGTTTTGTTGCCCTCTTTACCATACATGCCCTCTTTCCAATATCTCTTATGTTTTATTTCGTTTCTTTTATTTCCTCCCCCTCCACCCACTTTCCCTTCTTCACCAACCACCCTTAATTGCAATATGAAAATCTACAAAACTGTCTTCCCGACAAAAGTCCCTTTTTTTTTTTTGCTTTTACAACGTAAAGTTTTTTCAAAAAATTTTCCACTCCACGTTTTTCTCCTTTTCTTTCTTTCTTTTTTTAATGAATTTCCAAAGCGACGCACACGCGGCTCTCTCGGCTCATTCGAATTTCTCCGTAATTTTCAATGTAAATTCGCGGCTCGCCTCTGCCGGATTTCAGACCACGCTTGCACCTTGCAAAGGCGCAGCTTCGCCACGATTTTGCAGCTCGCGACCAAAATTCTCTGTCGTCGGGATCCTCTCGCTGTACGCTCTTTACCTGCTCTATACCTATATAAGCAGTAATTGGTAGCCATCCCGTAAAACGTTTAGCGATCCGTAATATCACAGCGATAGTAACCAATTAGAATTTCACGTATTTATGTGAAAATTCGTAAAATTCTTCCTTCCGTACTTTCCACTCTCACAGTTTCCCTATCCGATCCTAAACTGCAGCGTATCCACCATCGTTAATCCTGTCGCAAGGAATTAATCGAGAAGCTAAAATTTTCCGCTGGAAACGATCGCTCGTAATTCTCCTGGTCATTTTCACCAGTTCCCGTATACAGTATTTCACTGGACCCGACGGACCGGCCAGAATGGCAAAATTTGAGCCGCGATGCAAAACTGCGTTTTATTGTCAAGCGAACGAAAATAGGGCCGAGGATAAAAGATAAAAACGACTGTACCGACATGTTTATTTTCTGTTGGTGAAGATCGACTGGCAGCTACGGCACGCGAGGACCTCGTCGATCCTCTTATACGCCGCGTGCGATGCACTGAGAGGAAGGACTGTCCGAAGCGGAAGTCGAAGGAGCGGAAGTCGCCTTTTTAGCTGGGATTTAAAAGTCAAACGAGGACATGTATAAGATCTTGAGACGCGGCACGGGCCGCATGTTCGTTCTGAGTCTGGTGGTTTTGTCCCTGTTGCTCTGTTTGTATTACGTGAATCAGGCGCAGGCGCCGTCGCCGGTAACTGCCGGACTCATTAACGACGGGTTGAGACAATTTGAAAAGGGACTGACTTCCGCCCTGTCGGACTACAGTGAAGCGCCGGATGTTCAAGTCTCCAGCGCGACCTGCCCGGCGACGACTCTCAGAAAAACGGATATCGACGCGCAGGAGGAATTCAAGAATTTCGATTTTCAGGTGAGTGACGTCATTTTGACAAACAAAATTTTCTTATCGTAACGCCTAATTATATTAACGTAAGGTTAATCGGACAAGGTGTGTATTATGGTTTTTTTGCGGAAGTAAATTATATCGCAAATTGATCTCGCGAAAATTTATACCCTCTGGCCGAAGGACTCTGAGCGACGGAATGATAAAATCGTACATGTATATATATATCTGTATACAGAGGTTAGATCGATCGGCAGGAAGTTATTTTGAAACGAAGACGAAATTCCGTTGTTACTGAAAGATTGTGAAATCAAAAGTCAATTCTACGGAATCGACCAGAACCTAATGGTATTTTATGTGTTTCCTGAATAATTTCGAGGGCTCCTGTCCTACAAGGACCTTTGTCGTTATCCACAAAAGTAAATGCCGAGCGCGATAAATGAGCAGTGTCCATAGGGTGGATTCCATTACGGGACAAAAAAAAAAGGTGAAAAAAGGGAATATCCTTTTCAGGGCTACCAACCGAACCGCCGTACCGAGAGAAACACTGTGTGCGTTGCCACTGGTGATTTGTTTCGTAAAAGTATCAGGCGTCGCTTCGGTGTTCTTCGGCTCTTCTCGGCTATCTTCGACAAGCGAATATGTATATATATATACAGTCTTATATGTGAACTCAGCCACGTTCCTGCATTTCTCAAACTGCTTGTAAAACATGCATAGCGGTTTTCTAAGAAAAATCGAAATTTTCTGCGTCGATCCCTGGAACATGAATTTTAACCTTTTTATGGAATTTGAATCTTCTTTTTTTTTTTCAAAAACAACTCCCCCCCTTTTTTTAGGTGATTTACGCCAAAATTCTTTTTCATTGCTGTCACTGGTGTAATTGGCATATATATAGACTGTACTAGGTATACACAGGGGTATCGATATACTGTATTCGTATGGGGTGTTACAACGTTAAGGGTGTCAGACTAAGTCAGGTGGCAGACTAAGGGTTGACGATTGTCGTTCGCATGGAACTGCTCGCATAAAATTTGTCTCGGCGGATAAATCAGATAAGGGTGGCCTCACCCCCGTGAGTGGTCACCACGATTTTTCGGATTAGGGGATGAAAAAAGAAACCCTTACTCGGTATACTCGACAGGTGGTAATATTTTGGTGTCAGCTGCCCCTCGAAGGAACCTGCAGGAAGATTAAGATCTGTCTGTTCTGACGATTTTCATCCCTTAATTTAAGGGGATGAAATGCTTGATCGATTGGGACATTAGACACGAATTATGAAGCCGCCCCTATCTTTGGATGGCTCAACGGTACTGGCATGTCATTTGCGATGTACAGTCGCGATAAAAAAGAATCCTCTTTCAACTGCATTGAATTATTTAGAAAGATGTCAGTCGTGACCAGTGTCGCCGTATTGGACGGCTTTTCGAATGTGATTTCAAAAAGAAAAAAAAAAAAAAGAAAAGTAGAAATATCGACAGAATATATTTGAGGATTCGCACGAAGGTTCATTTCGGTCGATAACGTTTAATAATTTCTAGAACGAATACGCGAACCGTTCAGTGACGGAATAACGTATCATCAGAAAATATGATTTTATAATCGAGTCGATCCAGGAAGAAATTTCATTAATTTATGACCGTTAGCTCATTTAAATTTATAATTCATACGGAATTTTTTTTTAGAAAATAAAAAAAAATGTCCTATTTTTACGATTTTAATATTATATTTTGCTGGACCTTTTTTTGGAATCGGTTTTAGTCTTCGAGCTTTTTTTTTCGACTTTTTTATCAAAATTCATACCCAGGTTTTACTATATGGCTAATATACCTAGATAGACCACGTGCTCCTAGCCGATTTCCCGGAACGAAAGCAGTTTCAATTGCGGTTTCGACGTGTCGCATTCTCCGAATTGCAGCTACTCCGGCCGGAAGTACATGGGAGTGGACGAAAGTGCATTTCCCGGGAGGAGAAAGCGAACGAGTACGTAGAATCAAACCGAGATTAGCGTATCGATCTGATTTCCAACTTGTATTCGGGATGGTCGGTGGGAAATATTTAAATTTTCCTTAATGGAACTACCAACAATAATACGAATAAATTTCGAATTTTTCAATAGCTTTTTTTTTTGTCAAAAATCAACTGCACGTGCAGGTATAAGTGCTATTGCGAATATCATTATGTGTGTATATACAGGGTGTTCTTTATGAAACGCACTGTAGCAACACCGTTGCATTCCTTGTCAAATTCTAATAAATACGTGTATTTTCATTTTTTATGTCATATATCAAAATTTCGAGATAATCAAGATTGAAGTTGCAGTAATGCGACCAATCAGAACGCGTTTAAACGGAGCGTAGATGACGTCGCGAGCCAGCCCGCAAGGCCTGCTTACACTAGGCCAATAACACTAAGAGTATCGTCGTTGTGTCCCTGTTTATCTGCATGTAATTGAGTAAGATACAAGAGACGATACTCTTAGTGTTATTGGCCTAGTGTAAGCAGGCCTTGCGGGCTGGCTCGCGACGTCATCTACGCTCCGTTTAAACGCGTTCTGATTGGTCGCATTACTGCAACTTCAATCTTGATTATCTCGAAATTTTGATATATGACATAAAAAATGAAAATACACGTATTTATTAGAATTTGACAAGGAATGCAACGGTGTTGCTACAGTGCGTTTCATAAAGAACACCCTGTATATACACACATAATGATATTCGCAATAGCACTTATACCTGCACGTGCAGTTGATTTTTGACAAAAAAAAAAGCTATTGAAAAATTCGAAATTTATTCGTATTATTGTTGGTAGTTCTTACACGGTAAGTACGAGCAAATGAGGAATTTGTGCGTAAAGCTCTTCTCCTCGTCCCTTCGTTTCCCTGACTCTCTTCAATTTTCACATCCTCCCGATTACTCACCTGCTGGAATAATCCTTTCGGAGACACCTCCGTGCTCCTTCGTATCGGCATAAGCGCGCCTGACTCAAATTTCACATTCTTAGTCGTTAGAGCCTGCGCCCTTTACGTTCTTACCTAATTACTTTATATTCTACTTCGACTCGTGCTTCAGCCTTTTGATAGGCGCGATTGATTATCCGTGATGTTTGATACTAAAAAAAAACATGTTCAACCCGATTTCACTTCAATTATAATATTTCTGCACGCCGTACGATAAATGATTGCCAGTTGTACCAGAGACACACGGAGCTCTCAAAATTATTTTTTAAAATTACTATTTAACTCTGTAGCCTATATTCTATCGTCCTTTGAATTACCTGTACGACCGAGTCCCTCTAATATTGAAATTTATAAGATTTCTACACGTGGTCGTATACACCTGCCAGTTACTCTCTGCTACATACGTGTATATTTCCGTACGAGGAAGAATGTGACAAAATGGCGGAAGTGCCAGAAGGCGATGAAGTATAGACCGGAAGAGGCCGGAAGGCGTTCTGGCTCATCCGTAGGAAAATTTGTTTTTCTCGCTTGGCCAAGTAGCCGTTTTCCTGTGTAGAGAGGTAGGGGTGTAGGGAGTAGAGCAAGAGAGAGGGGGAGCAAGAGTGAAGAGGGTTGTGGAGGGTTTAGACTTTGGAGACTGGTAAAATGGTGGGCAGACAGGGGAGAGAGAGAGAGAGAGAGAGAGAGAGAGAGAGAGAGAGAGAGAGAAATCTTTTGGGTCCGACCGACATTCGGCGACCCCCCAGGCCTAAACCCCACAGCGATTAGGTACGGATAGCTTTGCTCTTGGTGCCTCGTCGCTGTCGGGCTGGCCTCACTAGAGGGAGAGAGAGAGAGAGAGAGAGAAACGAAGGCAACGAACGTGCAATTTAGGGATTGTCTCCTCTCTTCTCCGACTGCATTTCGCAATTTGCTTAAGCAAACATTTCCAGAAATTCATATCCGCCCCTCCCCC